CTGATTTAATTGAGGAATAATGTAATTTGATTGACACCAAAATGGCTAGATGTGCCATCAAACCACCAATGAGTTATGATCTTGAATATTATGCTTCTTTTACCTTAATTGAATCCGACGTAGAGCCTTCATCATTTCACGAAGAAATTAATTTCCACAGAAGGATCTAGATGAAGGCAATGACAGAATAAATTGAATATTTACGTAAAAATAGAACATGGGATCTAGTTGTTCTCCATAAGGGGAAGAAGACAGTTCGATGTAAATTGATATTTAAGAAAAAAGAAGTTAGATCTAAAAAGAAAGGACAAAAGCTTTAAGCTCAATTAGTAGCTAAATGATACTCACATGGGAACGGAGTTTATTATAGTAAAAATCTTCTCTCCAGTAGTCAAGCATTTATCAATAAGGGTGGTGTTGCCTATTATTGCATGCTAGATAACCGTCAACAATAATCAGCGGTCCTCGGACTCATGCTGGATACCAACAGGCTGCCGCCCGAGCCCCGCCTCTCCCGAGCGTCGTCTTTCTCACTTGGTGAGGATTCCGGCGAACTCCGTGGCGAGCGACGTGTCAATCGACCTCTATGGCCGCTTCCTCCGATGCCCCATCGATTCCTACGTTGAGAGCGAGGACCAGTGCGCGAGCTTGACGTGGCCAAAGCGCGACTCCGACACGGCGATGTGCGGAGATCTGCGCCACAGGACGTCGGCATCAGGGAGGAGAGTGTACGTCGGTGGAACAGGAACTGGTCAACTCTGTGGAATTCATTCTTCCAGTAGACGCGTTCCGTCCACAGACTCTTCCAAATGTCGCGAAGCAGCTCAGGTTGGGTGGTCTCCCGGCATTGATTCCCAACCGTCTTCCCGTCCCATCGGCTGCTAAGATCTGGATCTCGATTCGAGCTTCCTCTGCTCCTGGGGCTTCCACGTCCACATCTCAACACCCCAGACAGACAGAAAAAGATTATCCATGTTCAATTGTGGACAGCTGGACTTTCAGTTAAAAGACTTTCCTCTGCCTCCTGAGTCTCCAATCGCCTGCAACTTCAACGGAGGACCCGTCCGTGGTGACTATCTGGCTTTCTCCACATGGCATCGGCGGCAACACAGGCGTCCATCTCATGGGCAGTGACGATCAACGAGGGAAACCACCAACCGCCTGGTGTGCGGAGGGAGGGGCTCAGACGGGAGGCCGACGCCGGACTCTTCTTCTCGGGACTGTACGATTATCATGCTCCGCCGATGGCCTTCCCCAGCTCCCGTCGCCCTTCTCATCTCTTCTGACGCTTCGACGCCACCCGTAACCTGCGTCAATATTTTAACGGAGGTTTTCTGCAGTTGATGCCTGGAGACACACCGGCCATATGAGGCGTCTCTCTCTCTCTCTCTCTCTCTCTCTCTCTCTCTCTCTCTCTCTCTCTCTCTCTCTCTCTCGCTCTCTCTCTCTCGCTCTCTCGCTCTCTCTGTATTCTCCTCCCAGTGATCGTTCATTGGGGGTTGGCAAGCTCGCGACGGGCGGGGACAGCGGCGATGCGACACAAGAAAGGTGTCCATTGTTCTCTCGACGTCCTCCTCCGTGTCGCGGTCCGAGCACATGGAGAAGGGTAGACAGAGAAGGAAGGAAAGCTCGTACAAAACCACACGATCAAGGATGAAGCTCCCAGTGGCGACCTTGTACTCGAAGCGGCAGAAGACAGCCAAACTGCCTAGGTATTTATGCGCAGATGAGATAAGACTCCGGAGATGGATGGATTCATTTCCCTCCGCGGTATCGTATCGTCACATGCTTCGATGCAGTTTCTGAACTGGCCCGGCCAGGCGTTCTCCGGTTCTCGGGGCCTGAGAGGGCTGAAAGCCCGGCTGCCCACGTTGCCCCTCCAAACGACGTTCCACGGTTTGGCCTCGCAATGGATACATAAATCCCTCCCCGTCTTCATCTCCTCTCTATGTACCAGCGCACAGAGATGGTCGACGGCGAGTGAGCAAGGACAATGGGTAGCGCATTCTTGTACCTGCATTCCAGCCGGCGGGAAGCTCACACGTGCTCTGGGACGTCTACGCCCTCTCCTATGGCTCGCTCTTCCTCGTCTCCTGGGGTTCTTCTCTCCAAGCAGGCGGCTTTGAGTCGGCGGCCATTGCAGAGATCTGCGCCACCGAGGTTGCTCGGGACGTCGTCATCACGCTGGAGGGGAGACGACGGGGGAGCAAGAACTGGTCAGTTCTGCGGAATTCTTCTTCCAGGTATTTTCTCCCGCTCGCTGAGAAGTTCCCCATTGTGACGTGTCCTTTGCCCAGTTTGCCTCCTGTTTTCGCCTGGAAGTTGCAGGAACGCGAGCTCCAAGCGTGGGGGGAGCGGTGGCTTTCTCCCAGTATACGCTTCTCGCTCCCTTCGTCGTTGTTCCGTCTTCCAATTCAAATCCCCGTCCTTTCCTGGTCTCGGCCGCACCTTGGAGCAAGACTGATTTCATTCGCGTCTCACAGATCATCTGGAGCGAGGAATACCCAGGGGAATCACGATGGCATGGCGGCAGGACGACGCGCTCCGTCCACATGCTGTTCCCAATCTCAAGAAGAAGCTCAGCATCCCTCTCAAAATGGAGTGACCCGCAGCGAGGACGACATCAGTTGGGGGTGGTCTCAAGCCGTTGCTTCCGAGCCGTCTCTCTGTCCCATCTGCTACGAAGATCTTGATCCCATGGATTCGGCTCCCTACCGTGCTCTTACGGCTGCCCCCCTTCGCTGTCGCGCTTAAAAAATAGTAGAAACTACGGTATATCCAAATTTTATTTTTATAGTAGCCGATTTGAAGAATTATGAAATTAGAGAGGGGTAATTTTAAATGTACGTATACAAGGTAAAATAGCTAGTTGTTATAAAATGACGGTCTAACTAAAATCCTCAATTTAGTCGGGGACTAAAATTAGAATATATATTTAGATGCAAACTTTTTAAGACGGTGGTACGCTAAGGGAATCTTTTCTTTTATGTGGTGTAAGTAAAATATGCCTCAAAGGCCTTGTTGCATAAAATCTATTACATTATGGTACGGGAAAATAGTCCTCAATTTAATCAGGTTTGAACTGAAAATAGTGGAGAGTATGGCATATCCCAAATTACTTTTTATTCTAGTCGATTTTTGAAGAATCATCAAATTAGAGAGGGTGGTAATTTTAAATGTGCCGTGTCAGGGTGAAATCGTTAAATGTTATAAAACGACGGTCTAACTAAAATCCTCAGTTTTATGGGGGAATAAATTAGAATACACGTATTTACATGCAGAATCTATAACACGGTGGTACTCTAAATGAATCTTTGCTTTTATAGGGTTGTAAATAAAATATGCCTCGAAAGCCTTGTTACATAAAATCTATTAAAATGATGGTAGGGAAAACAATGCTCAATTTTATAAGGCTTGAACTGAAAATTGTAGAGATTATGACATATCCCAAATTTCTTTTTATTCTAGTCGATTTAAAGAATCATCAAAATTAGAGAGGGGTAATTTTAAATGTACCGAGATAGGGTCAAATAGTTAAATGTTATAAAATGACGGTCTAACTAAAATCCTCAATTTTATAGGCGACTAAATTAGAAAATACATAATTTTATGGGGACAGATTTGAAATAAAATTGAGAGGATTTTTTGAATTATGTCATCATAAAATTCTGGTCTCTTTCAAAGTTTTAAATGAAATCAACCTGACTACCTACACGTATCTGACAATATCCTCAGCCTTTATGCCGTCCTAGCTGGGCTCATCCTTGAAGACTATACTGGGACGACAGCTGGCCAGCTCCTCCTTGCATCCTCCAATATTCAAGTACCAATATGTTGAGAAGGTGGAGCATACTCTCAGAAGAGGAGGTAGAGATTGTTGAGATTTGGCTCATATCCTAGTTGGGCTAAAGAAAATAGACTGTTCAAAGCCTGTTGGTCTACATACTAGCCTAATAATAGAGGAGTGAGAAACTCTAAATATGGCATATAAAATGATCATTTTTGGAGCCCAAATTAGGACACTCTAATTAAAACCTAGATTTCTATTTTTTTCCTCTTTCTAACTATACCTGCTTATCTCCTCTTTTGCCAGACAATATCTCATTATCTCCTCTTGCAGGTACAACAACAAAGGAGATTAGTTAGAGTGAGGTTACCTATAAAGGGAATCAGAGCTGGGTTGCTATAGGAAGAATAAATAGCCAAGGAAATCGGTGGTTGATCAGATCTCCAAAGTCAAATCATATTGGATGGAATCCAAGAGCTTGAGTTGGACTTTTTCACACCATAATTATTTCAGTTTGTTCTTGCTAGATTTTATTTTGCCACTTGTGCATCCCCTAAGTCTTCAACAATAAGATCTAAGTGCCATATTAATATCTACATTGAAAAAAAAAAAGAGGCTTTGAGAGCATGCCAGCTCTTAGGTTAAAACCAAGGCATAATGAAACTTTGCTGAACGTGTCTCTTATACTTAGTCGATTTTTTGTTTTTCATATGAAAATCTCAAGCCAAGATTTAAATTATATTTACAAGATTTTGAGTATGTTTTAAGCAAGTTTTCCTCCACAACAAAGCAAAAAATTTAAATTATTCCCACCAACCATCTCAGTTTGGAAGTCACATGGTTTCTAAGGCATATTATTTTCAACTTACTTAGAGAGCCTCAAAGCAATACTAGACCCATCTCAATTGGAAGAGAGCTTCACAAGACTCTACAATCCCTGAAACTTAACTTTTAAGTGTGCACAACCTTCCAATGCGTTTCTCAAAACCTAACTCCCTTGAGTATAATTAATTGCCAAGAGAAAATCCACAGAACCACTAGATATTTATGGAATTATAGGAAATAATTTGAATGGACAAAAAAAAAAAAAGGGTGAACTATATATAGAAATAACACCAATAATTATTAATCAAAAGTAATATAAAAATAACATAACAACAAGCGCATGAAAATAATACCATATCGTTTCTACATATGGCCAGAATGAACAGCCTTAGATCACCTGAGAAACAGCCTTGTAATAGCAAATTAGAATGATCAGATCAGGGATTAACTGCAGGGTAAACAACATCAGATTGAGCTGGAATGATGAGTTAAAACTAAAGACACAGAAACTACCAAGAAAGGCTTTCTACTTACTTTACACAAGGACTAATCCAATTCAGGCCCTCTGATCCTTGGCTTCATCTTTGCAGAATCATAGTCCAACTAATATAACATTTGAGGGATATATTAACTCCGGTAGACCGTAGCTAATTTAACAACCCCCCCCCCCCTCTCCCTCCCTCCCTTAACCCCTCTTCCCTCTTTCATGACCAACCGTTCCGGTGAGATATAATGGGCTGTCCTTGGGCATGAACATCTGAGTCTGGCTGGCCAATTCTAGCGCAAGAACCATTCCAGAATCAGAATCGATGGAATGAGTAGAGCTACTTTCCCATGATTTCCAAGCTCACCTGCACAAGGAAGACGCCAGCCCCATTTTGGAATGAATCAAACTTGTATATCGAGTTTAAGGACACTAGAGAGAGAGAGAGAGAGAGAGAGAGAGAGAGAGAGAGAGAGAGAGAGAGAGTCAAATGTATGCAAAATTGGGCAACAGAACGATACAAGTGGAGCAAATAGTTTAGAAATTTTCAGTTGTTTTCTTCTAAGGTTAGTAGCCTAGCTATTTCTCCAAGATCCAGCAGCGTAAGAAAATCTAATCACTAACATTAAATGACTACAAATAACATAAAAATAAAAAAAAGGAACGGGTTGATCCATCGAGGGAAGGGAAAAAAAAAAAACTAACAGAAGAGCCTTTAAAATCGATTCAATAGACTGCCATTAAAGGGTTGCTAGAATACTCTTTTAGATTAAAGCACCAACGAAATCTCATGACCAGTGCTTAATTACTCAAGTTTTCTGCATAGTAGAAGAACCTCACATTAAATGTGATAGGGGTAGATCGTGAAATTGAGCTGCACAACCCGATTATTTCACAAAATGTAATTTTTTTGATAGATACGGATCCTTTGATGCAGCTGGATAACCTAATGCCTCACGAGAGAATGGAAACAAGTGATTGAACCATTATTCAATCAATATTTTAAAGCACTTAATTGTGTAAGTCCTGGTGATCAAAGTGATCGCAGACATCAGAGTATAAATCCAGGAGGCCACGCCAGATGATTCAAGAAAATCTTCCTATATCAAGGTCTGATGGATAGAAATACAGCAATGATGGAGTTGAAGAACCAAAAGGCCTGCAAGAGGTGGAAACAGACGCTCGAACCGCTAATCAGAGGGCCTGATCATTTAGTTTTGATGAACAAGCGTCTACAGATAGATGCATCAGGACATAAATCCAGGAGGACATACGAGATTAAATAAGTCTTGTTATAGAAATGCTCGATTGATCTCCATACTTTGACGATGGCGCTGAATAACCAAAAAGCCCATAAGAGAGATCAATAATGCAAAGCACTTTATCGCGTAATTTAGATGAGCATGTCAATCACAAGTGGCCGAATCATGTTATCAACATAGAGGCCAAACTACATGATTCAATAAATTTTCCCTTAATTGTGGTAAAAAAGGGCTCCGCCAGCTGATTAAAATACTGATCCACATATGAGTCATCATACAGATATTTGACTGCCATGAAACATAAAAACCTTTTTTGTTTGATTAACGCCAAATAAATTGAACTTTTTTCCGCCTGTAAGGAACACATCCCATTGCATTTCAATTATAGAAGGCCCATGAACAATAACAGAATCATTTTCAATGTATTTAAAGTTAAGCATAACATGCGAGTAGGCAGAAAGTTTACCGCTCTGTCCTGAAGTTGCAGCAGGAAGGGCTGGTAGGGTGACCGCTGCAATTTTCAGGCAACATTTTAGCATCCAGGAAAATGCAAAGGAAAAAAACGGAAGCATTCATCTTTCAACATGTGATAATCCTTGACACAGGCAAAAGTACAAGGTCCTGGAAACAAGATACAACTTGAAGTAGGGAAGAAAGCTCGGGCACTCAATCCCATAAAAAGTAAATAAAATTGACAAAAAAAAGAAGGCTTTGATTTAAATATATAACATATTGCTTATTCTAGATCCAATATGGTGTGATGAAATTAGATAAGATGGAAAACACATTCATATTTTTCTTGAGACCATTCCAATTGGCAAAATCACAAAAAAACACAAATATGTCGCCTGCCCTTGCGAAATGTTGTTGAATGTTAGCTCCTCTGCCACACCGTAACCTCAACTACTGCTGAGCATGGGAAGAGAAACACTGAGCGAAAATTTTACAGTCAACATTATATTGCATGAAAGCTGACGAGTAAAAGAAGGTAATTCTAGATTTTGATCTCGAAAATGCCAATAATTAGATGCTGCTCCCTAATCAACACCACTTTGACCCCTAAAATCTTATCCCATTCAGAAATGCACCAGAACTACTATTTCTTTCAGTAGAAGCTCAATCCTACTATTTTTAGCAGTTTTAAATTATTAATTTAATGTCTACTAGCAATGCCTAGACACTTTTATGTGGGATGGGGCCCTTGGAGTGGGCAAGCATGCGGCTTGCAGATGCTTTAGATTGATGTGGTGTCAACTGCCATGAAACATTTACATAATATCTTAAATCCAGTAGCTAACTTCCTTCCGTAGATCAACATAAGTTTTGGGTCATCAATAGGAATAAATAAATTTTATAATTTTAAAAACCACATTTGATAAGAACATCTTCAATCCTATGGATCTCATGCAAAGCCAAAACTCTAGTTAACCTGTGAAATAAACATTAAAAATCGGGATATAAGTGCCACGTGGAAAATGCCAGGATGCATACATTTATTGCAGGAGGAAGATGTCAGCAGAGATGCAGAAGGCCATGGAGCCGCAATGTTGTCATTCAAGTCACAAGTAAAGCTGATGCCTGAGAACTGGTCGAACGTTGCATCGGAGGGCAGGCTGGGCAGGAGGCATCCCGACTCTGGAACCAGCACAAATGGGAACCGATGACTAGAGGTGTAAGTTCATTGCTTGAAGTTAATTCAAAGTTAAGATTAAGGCCAGGAAAATAATATCGTTAGAAAAAACCTATGACAAGTGAATTAAAAATAGCTACAAGCCAAGGTAAGACGTAGCATGCGTTGATAAGTCTCACAAAGATATTTTTTGATGGTTTATAAGTGGGTCGGATGAGACTCCCCCTGGACTCTCTCTCTCTCTCTCTCTCTCTCTCTCTCTCCCTCTCTCTCTCTCCCATTCCTCTCCCTCTCCCTCTCCCTCTCCCTCTCTGTGCCAGTCCTAAGGTCCATAACGCAGTTCTCCCTCATAAAGAGCATCAATGTCTCAACAAAAGAAGCCAAAGCCGCAAAGAGCAGAGTAAAATATTACCTTGCGAGCCAACTGGTTCACCGTTCGCAGATCCCACCACCAAAAAGAACACAGCAGGAAAAAAGGAAGTTACATCAGTAAGCAGACTATTATTTCCTACCAAATGAGGATGAGCACTTCACATGCGACCAAGTTCTCCCAAACCTTGCAGAGAAAAATCCTTCAGGGTGACTTGACAAAGGCTGTACACGTTCGCGCTTATGTTCATCTCCTGCAGCTGGCGACCCAGCTGGGAAGCACAGTCCAGCGCCTGAAGATTGGTGATAAAACTCTGCTTCTGTAGGTGGGACACGTAGTTATCCATGGCCACGCAGCAGGCAGTCCTGTTGCTGATCGCATTCCCACAGTCTCTCGCCACACTTTTGGCATCAGGGAAGACCAACGGGCACACTGCGATATAATTAAGAACCCAAAGGATTTAGCAAACAGGAGAAAAAAATTCGAAGGCATAGAATTTCTCTACATCTTGTAAGCCTTCTTCAAGTCTTTATGAAGGTTAATAATTAGCACCCAAAAGATAGTGAACCCCACCAACTCAAAAAATGGCTCCTATGAAATCATACATCAGGAAATGTATACGGGTTTGATTCTTTAAAAACGTGAGATTTATGCGAGGATTGAAGCCACCAATAAACATGCAGAGGCATACCCAGATTTACCTCTATTCACATTGCAATTGGAAATCCTTCTGAGCAGTTGTTTTGCAGAGGGTGGATCCAGCCGACTGGCCAGCCACCTCATGACGATGTTCTTGCAGCCGTCGATTCTGGGCAAATCCTCGGGCAGCAAGAGAGCTCCGTCTGCGCCGGGCAGGTCGCCGCCGCTGAGCGCCATCTTCCTGGAAGCGTCCAGAATGGCGTTCTGGCAGATCTGGCTGCAGCACTCGTTGACCGAATCCACCCTCTTGCAGGCGGCCAAGAGCTGCGAGGAGTCAACGACGCTCTCGACCCCGTCGACGTCCCCAACAGGGCAGCTGCCCTTGGTGAGATTCGCCGGGTGGACGGAGCAGATCTGCCGCAGGTCCTCGTTCGCGCCCTGGCTCCCGAGGATCTTCTGCAAGTCCGAGAGGCAGTGGTTCGCGTGGGCGGCGTCCAGTGCGAGCGATCCCGTCTCTCTGCTCGATTGCCCGAGGAGGACGACGAGCGTCGCCTGCAACTGCGGGCAGCAGATCACGTTGGCTAGGAATGGCGCCAGGGAGGTCCAGCAGTCGACGGCGGTGGTCCTGATCATGCTATCCGCGGAGGAGAAATTCAGCGCGCATAGCCCTATCGACGGAGACGAGGATCGCTCAGGACGTGCAAATCATCGTCAGATTTTACAGGGATTTTGGCGGAGCTGAACCTGATAATTTAGGGATGATGTTGTTGGAGAAGGGCGCCAGCGGGGAAGGCGCGAGGAAAGGGAGGAAGGGTTGAGGCGCCCTGCTCGGAGAGGTGTCGGGGAGGAGGACGCTGGGCTTTTCCTTGTCCTCCTTCAGAATGTGGTCATCCTGATGATGCAATGCGAGGCTGGGAATTGCAGCAGCGTCCAGGAATCTGAAGCAGAATTCCCACAAACCTGAGAAGAGGAGGATCTCCAGAAGTAAATACGGGGAAAGGAATGGTAGGAGGCGATCCGAGACGGTGATGAAAGCTTAAATGGTCGGGCCTCGGCCATGAAGATCTCTCTTCAGCTTGAATGTCTGGCGATGGGAAGAGGAAGCAAATGCCATAGAATCGAGACTGGAGCAGATAAATAAACCGATAAATCTGCGACTATGATTGATCGATCGTTCGAAACAATGGCCAATATCAACCAAATTACGGAGCACGAAGAAACACCACACTCGGGAACGGACAAATCAAATCCCGGCCGAATTCGCAGAGATGAACAACACCTTACATCCGAGAACTGCCGTTCCTGAATGAAGAGAAAAAAAGAAAAAAAAACAGAGAACAACCACAGGAAGAGACATCGAACGAAGGGAAGAAATGACAATTCAGATGGGGTCGCAGATCGCTCGGGAGGAGAATGCGGGAGAAGTTCGGTGGGAGGTGCTCACAGAAGACGAGCAGCAGAGTCCCGATGAAGTTGGCGGCGGGAGGCCACCGCCGGGATCCTCCCCCCATTTCGGCCGGATCTTCAGGACGGCCGGAAAACCAGACGCGGCCCCATTCCGTGGACGAGATGAGGTACCGCCGGAGAGGAGAAATCGCAGAGCCTCTTCTGGTTCCCCGCCGCCCTCTCCTTCATCCTGGGGAGCCTCAGGCGGTGGTGGGAGTGCGGAGAAAGGACGTCCTGCGGGGAGGGGAGGAGAGAGAAAGAGGAACCGCCATTGAATGCGCGGCGTGAGCCCGTGGGGACCAAAAGTAGTTCTACTGGCTGTCTTTAGTTGACAGCACCCATAACTCCTCTCGCTCTCTCTCTCTCTCTCTCTCTATCACTCAGCACTACTCACTCTCTCGCTCTCTGATCTCCCTCTCTCTCTTTCTCTCTCTATCACTCATCACTCACTATCTCGCTGTCTGATCTCTCTCCCTCCTCTCTCTAACACTCTCCGTAGCTCGCTCTGACTTGTAAAATCCGTCCATCCACCTCACCTCTCCTTAACTCGGACGCGTCAACCCGTTTGCTTTCTACAATACTCTCTCTCTCTCTCTCTCTCTCTCTCTCTCTCTCTCTCGCTACTCTGTCTCTCATTTACTGCTGCGGCTCGCTCTGACTCGTACGAGTCGCCCGTGCTTCCATGTTCAACCCGGACCAGTCACTCGGAGGAGCGTTGACCGTCTCCAAAGAATTATAATTCCAAGGAAAATCAGTGGTCAAAAAATATGACAAGGGCCTAAGTGGGCCGATTAGCCTAAGTCGACCCATCAAGAAATGGACTGGGCCCATATTCCCTCTTTACCCCCCCCTCCCCAATGGGCAATATTAACAAAGCACCTGCTTTTTTTTTTATCATATCCTCCGATATTCTCTATATTTTCCCCCCCCACACCATTAGATAATATATATATATATATATATATATATATATATTTCTCACCCATTAAGACCAAATGGGTAGAATCGCAATAAATACAAGGACAAGGGCCCCAATGTTGTTGTCCTCTAGTCATTTAGTATTTTCCGAGGTTTTTAATGTTGACCCACAAGGACTTGGGTTGATGGGGGTATATCATTAAAACTAATTAGTACCATTCTGGGTTTTATTTTAAAATATGCATCTTAATTATGCTAGTAAGTCATCTAATGATGGGTTGCTTCTGAAACAATAATAATCACTATTATTCCTTATATAGTCTAATAAAATTTATTCAACTTTAAATTTTTACGTAATATTCTAGAAAAAATATATAATAACGCTTTAACGAAATTACCATTTTTATTAGGATTTTGGTTTCATCGCCTTTAGCCCAGATTTTTTTTTTTACCGAGGCGAATTTGTAATTCAACACTGGAAGAAGGGTATTATCGCAAAAAAAAGCATCACATGATCTGCGGGGGAGCGCTCAAGCGGATCGTGAAGGGGCAAGAGCTTTTACAGCTCCTCCCCACCTCCCAACAACTTTCACTGCGACTTCATTAATGCAAATCTGAAGGAAAAGCAGGTACTGCTGTAATTATTCTAGAGAGAGGGGAGAGAGAGAGAGAGAGAGAGAGAGAGAGAGAGAGAGTGGGGGAAGTAGGGTCTTTCCGGGTGAGTTTGAACAGGCATTTAATGAATTATAATTAATCGAATTTAATGGGAACTGTATAATAAATGTGACTCTTGAAGACGTTCAATGGGATGCATGTTGTGGACGTTGGTACCCCCCACCACCTTCGTCTGCTATCTTTTAATTTTATTTTTAATCTTTAAATGGGTACTATCACCACGATCAATCTCAATAATTTTTTAATTAATTATGATTTAATTATTATATAAATAATAATTTGAAAGTTATTAGCAGGGGGTGTAAATGGGCTCGGTCTCTCTCTCTCTCTCTCTCTCTTCGTTTGGTTAGGAAGCCACCCTGAGTTAACGGCAATGGGGACTTGTGGGCTGGGCTTGGGTTTGACTGCGTAGACCAAATCCCTTTATTGGGATTTTCCGCTGGGCCCCCTTTATTGGGCCTTATATGTGGACGCCAACAAGATCTGGGCTCATGTTGTGATTTTTCTTTCTTGGCCTGACTTCTTGGCCCATATTGAAAATATTTACATCAGGCTGACCATTGGAGTAGCTCTTAGGATTTCCCAGGCGGGTCTTCATGAGAGAGAGTAGGAAGAATAGAGAGAGAGAGAGAGAGAGAGAGAGAGAGAGAGAGAGAGAGAGAGAGAGAGAGAGAGAGAGAGGAAAATAGGGTCCGTATGAAAGGACAGTACCCAATTGCAAGCCTTGTTTATAGAGTACGCCAAGCATCCAGTTGATAATCCGCAAGACTGCGCGCAGTTGACTATCAAAGGTCAAAAATTGACTTTTCGCATCTGACCTTGAGGGGTGAGCTGCACCAACGTACACCAACCATTTCGTCTCCCTTGTTCGTCAAACCAGACCAGGATAAGCATGGGAAAAAGAAAAAACCTCCGTAATTATCTACTCTCCCATTCTTCATCCGTAACTCAACTCATGTGTGTGTGAAGGGTCGCCGACATGGCCTGACCTGGCTGCCTGAAACCCTTTGAGAGAGAGAGAGAGAGAGAGGTGACATGAGTTGACTATGAGAGAATTACGTGGGAAAAAGGAAAAAAAAAAAAAATTAAACTTTTGGCTCTCTTTGTCGATTGGGGGAGTTGTCAACGTTGAGAGCTATTTAAATCATCAATGTATAGATATATATATTTACAGATAAATATTGAGGGATTGCTGGTTGTGAGGGATTCAATCGCCGTCATGTTGCCGTGTGTTGACTTGACGAGAGAGGCTTTGGAAAGCTACACCGTTCTATAATGACGATGGCTCCAGTTCATGTCTCGATTCAGCGCGTCGAGGATTATCAGGTTTAAGAGGAGGAAACCATTTCAGCTTTTTTTTTTCCGAGCCAGCTGTGCCACAGCTGCTAGATTTAGTCATCTATTTAGATTAGATCGTCTCGAATGTCAACGCAATCGGTGTCGACGCGGTTTCAACGGCTGTGACGTCGCAGGGGAGGCTCCCACTAGTTCCCCTAGCAAGGTAGAGCTTGACTAGGCTTGAGATAGAGCGAGACAGAAAGGGAAACAAAGAGACGATACAGAGAGAGAGAGAGAAGGAGAGAGAGATAGAGAGAGAGAGAGGAGAGAGAGAGGGGAGGAGAGGAGAGAGCGAGAGAGAGAGGGGAGGAGAGGAGAGAGCGAGAGAGAGAGAGAGAGAGGAGAGGAGAGGAGAGAGCGAGAGAGATAGAAAGAGAGAGAGAGAGAGAGAGAGAGAGAAGGAGAGAGAGATAGAAAGAGAGAGGAGAGGAGAGAGAGCGAGAGAGAGAGAGGAGAGAGAAGAGAGAGAGAGAGAGGAGAGATGAGAGAGGAGAGAGGAGAGAGAGAGAGAGAAGGAGAGAGAGATAGAAAGAGAGAGAGAGAGAGAGAGCGAGAGAGAGGTAGAGAGAGAGAGAGATAGAAAGAGAGAGAGAGAGAGAGAGGAGAGAGGAGAGAGAGAGATAGAAAGAGAGAGAGAGAGGAGAGAGGAGAGAGAGAGAGATAGAAAGAGAGAGAGAGAGAAGAAAGAGAGAGAAAGAGAGAGAGAGAGAACGGCGGCAGGACAGCGATAAGATTACGAGGGTAGAGGGAGATAGAGAAGGAAAAGATTATGGAGGAGAGGTGAAGAAGTTTATGAGGGAGATGGTAAGATTGTAATAGGTTAATTAGGAGAAATTGAGAACAAGGTTACCAGGCAGAGAGATGGTTACGAGGAAAGAGAGAAAGGGAAGAGAAAGACAAGGGTGAAGTGCTGAGCGCCAGCGTTCAAAATCGTTCTAACACTGTTTCCCTCCCACACCTCGCCTTCTGTCATCACTCCTGACCTGCAGAATATCATCTACACAGAGAGAAGAAAGAAAGAAAGAAAGGAAGGAAGAAAGATCGTAAAAACAGTCCTTCGCAGAACCTCCCTCCATGCTTCAGTCCCCCACCTCCGATATGCTATGGAGGGCCGGCCGCCATTGCCGAGCCCGCCGAAGGAGCTCGTCACGGCCGGCGCCGGGCAGCAGGTGGGCAAGCACCAGGTGCAGCGGCAGGGCGCCGCCACCTGCCATCCGCTGCAGCGCCTCCAGTTGCCGCCGGCCGATCTTGATCTTTACCAGCATCTCCGGCGGCGCCGCCGCCTCCCGTGACCGCCTATCCTCCCCAGCCTTGGCCTTAGCCGCCGTCGCCACCGCCACCGCCGCCTCCGCCAACCGCCGCTCCTCCCCCGGGGACGCCCCAAGACTTGCGCAGTTGCCCATGCCTTTCACAGAGATGAGGAGGGAAGAACAGAGCGAGAGTGAGAGAGAGAGAGAGGAAGCGTAATGTGGGGGGGAAGAGGCAATCGTGCTCCACTCCATAGGCAGTGTCCCTATAAGGCTTCTGCGACACCCCTCGCGTCCGCCGCGTGACAGCCTCATCTAATATTTTAAAGTAGCATTGACCTGTTAAACTGCTCCTACGAGTCACAAAAGTCCACTCTTGAGAGATTAAGAAATCGGAGAGAAAGAGAGGAACGAGACAGCGAGAGAGAGAGACAGAGAGAGAACCCTTCACGGGCTTTATAGTTCAAGCTAGGGGCCAACTGTTAAAACGCCGACAGACAGCTACACCAAAATTAGGAGTGATGGGGAATGGGCCCAATTGGATAAAGCCCATTAGTCTTATTACCGGCCCATTGTTGTAATCCTGCACTCTTAGGGCATGATCAGATTTTCTCGGCTTGTGATCGCCCGAATCTCAGCTTGGCTCGACTGAGACGGTTCGATCCGGGATCAAATCCGGGCTATGAACCCAGACTCGGGCAACTAGCTCCACAGAGAGAGAAAGAGAGAGAGAGAGAGAGAACAGAGAGGGGAGAGAGAGAGAGAGAGAGAGAGAGAAAGAAAGAGAGAGAGGAAGTCGCTGTCAGCTGGCGTGGAGGGCATGTGGATGAACAGGAGTTTGAAACTATTAGCCAATGTTGGGTTGCGGTTCCATTAATATTATAAGGCGTCCAACTCTGAGGTCTCTACACTTGTGGCATTGTCATGTGATCATGACTGCACATACATCCAACAATTCTAGGTGCACGCTTCAGAACCTCCCCCTCTCTCTCTCTCTCTCTCTCTCTCTCGGCTGACCAGCTCATGGTCAGCCGGTCAACTCCTCAGACTTTAGTGTGTGAACTCATTACTCTCACTACGTGAATATCCTTTAATCATCCGCAAGACTCTCTCTCTCTACAATCTGGCCGGGCTAAGCAGCCTGGCCTGAATTCGGGCTTCATTGAAAACCGGGCCGGAGTCCATGACCCAGGCCCGGGCCTTATCCCAGATACCACCGAGTATCAGGGGAAGATCCTCCTCGAATAAATTCTTTCGTTTTTACCCCTATCTTAAGTTGTATTCACAAGATAACTTCTTTCTCCAAGATGACCTCTCCGGGCCCCATTTTAAAAAAAACACCCAAAAACTGGACTCTAGGCGAAAACGCCCGTCGGGGCCCGCGTGGCAACAATATACGAGGAATGGCTAATGCTCGAGAGAGGAGCCCGCGGCTTACCGGGCTTTATGGGCCCGGACTGAATCGGTATTTGGGCCAGTAATCTCTCCTGGACTCACTTTCGGCGGGCCATATCTCTCTCTCTCTCTCTGTTGCCAGGTGCGTCTAGAAGGCTAGGTCAGACCAGAACATGTGTTTCCGGGCTTTCATTTCGGGCCCAACGAAGCCCGAACATTGTAAGCGATGGGCCGGGTCGCGCTGGGGCTGATAAGACCGGGCCTGGCCCGACTCATTGAGCCCGATATCTCATAACATTGGAAGAGAGAGAGAGGGAGAGGGAGAGAGAGAGAGCGAGGTCGTTTGAGTGGGGCCCACTAATTGTGCCTCGAACCTGAGGTCACGTGCGGGAAGTCCTCGGATACCTTCACGTTAAGCACGTGCCTGGTCTCATGTTAAGTCCTCTCTCTCTCTCTCTCCCTCTCTCTCTCTCACTTCTCTCTACTTTTTTATATTTAACAAATATTTTCTATATGATCTCTACTCCTCCCCCCCTCTCTCTCTCTCTCTCTCTCTCTCTCTCTCTCTCTCTCTCTCTAAAACCTTGGTTATGAAACAGTAAAGATCAGTGAAACTCGGGCAACATTGAATTAATTACTTCTAATTCTAGGTCTCTCTCTCTCTCTCTTTCTCTCTCTCTGATCTTTCGTTCTCCTGTCTCTTGTACTTTGTTCGAGGCCGAAGGAGGATACGATAAGGATCGGTGAACCCGACCCACAGCGCACTCGACATCGGACAGCGGGATGAACGTCTTGCGCCCCCCGGCGCCCGGCCTTTCCATCATACTTCGGCTCCTTGGGCCATTTCGCACGTGTCAGGAGAAACTCGCGTCTCTATCTTATTGGCAGCGAATCTATAATTCTAGAAAAAGTTTATGAATTTAAAACCTGCCATTTGGGACGGAGAGAGAGGACAGATGAAGAGAGAGAGAGAGAGAGAGAGAGAGAGAGAGAGAGAGAGAGAGAGAGAGAGAGAGAGAGGGAGACCTGAGGAAATGTCTTTGAGCTTATTATATAAATAATTTGTATATTTATAATTTAATTAATTTAAACATTTTGCCTTTTATAGCAGTGTTTATAACAGGAAATATATGGGGTCATAGAACATTTTTGGGCTTTTAGAGTTGACTTTATTTAGCACCCTCATCCAACAAAACTTAATTTTCTATTTTAACATAATTTTGGGGAATAAAAATGAAATGAATTACAATAAAATTTGGGGCATATGCCCTTTTTTCTCGTGTAAATAATTTTTTTTTGTAGAAAGATGAACTACAATAATGAAGATGATATACTTCAATTAGTCTACTATTTTTATTTTCTTTATTTTATTATAAAAATTCAAATTAATTCCCCTTTAGAGAGTACCTTCCAACTCTTTCCTGCTCTTAGGAAGAAATATCAATATACACACTCTTTCACTCTAAAATGTGCCCGGAAAATAATAATAATATGACCATTTTTCTTTTTTTCAATCTTAAAAACTTAATTTTTATGAATGATGCACACTGAAAGTAATTATATATTTAAAATTAAAAGAAAATATTTATTTGAACTCGAATAATAATAAAAAAATCCCCCACCCAAAAAAACTCCACCCAAATAATAATGAGGATAATGAATAAAAAATAAATACCACCCACGTTACACCATCCACTTGTGTTCTAGTTGGGCCCCACCTCTTCCCCTTCCCATAGCGGACAGTGCACCCGCTGATGCGCCAGCGCCTAGGATGCCATTCTATTTGCAGACGTACACCGTTGAGGAGGGCGGGGTGGTTTTACCGATAACCCCCTCGCCTTCCAAAAGTAGTCAAAGATCGGGCCCACCTTAACATATTTATATATGGGGCCAAATAAAATACAGAAGAGCCAAATGCTTGCGAACCCCCACTAAAAGCTGACTCTTGCAGAATCCCCCTTCAAGTTCGAGAATATGTTCTGTCACTTTAACAGGCCTACCAGTGCTTATGCGACTGAAAAAGATCAATAGTTTCGCCAAAACTTATAAAATGACAAAAAATGTATGATTTAATTAAATCACTTTTAATAAACTTGAAAATAAGGAATTTCGCACCCATTTTTGTATTCATGTCGAATGTGTTTAAAACCTACTTTTTTAGGACTATTTGAATGTGTAGGTCACAAAAATGAATTTCTTGGCAATTATTTTTTTATTTTATTTGGATTATTGTTATTTGTATATAAATATTAAATATAATCCTTATATTCTTAAAAATAAGAATATATTATTAGTATTATTTACTAACTTCATTTACGTCATACTTTGTCATGTATATATGTTATAAATATACCTAAATTATCCATATATATATATATGTATATATGTATATATCACACCTTAAATTATGATTTAAGTGAAGCAAGGGACGAAACGTTAAAGAGAGTTTGATAGAAAGGGGCATATCCATATTCCACATAGTTTAAGGTATTGAAATAATAAATCATATTTTTAAGGGTTTCATGCGGTCCGTGGCCGACCGCCCCATCTCCCCTTGGACGCCCCCTCTCTCTACGCACTGTTTCTCTCTCTATCTCTGCTTCCCTCTGTCCAAATTGTCTTCTTGCCTTTTTTTTTTCTTCCGTCCCCACACAGAAGCAGTCTCTCCCTCTCTCTCCCTATCTGCTTCTCCTTTCTCTCTCTTCCCCCGCCCCAACCTCAGTCTGCGTGTTCCCTGCGCCGATGTCGACAAAAGAATCCCTCCCAACCTCGAACACGCCACTCTCCCACTTCCCCATTCCTCTCTGCGAGTCGTCTCTTTAGATCAGATCCGACGGCGAGAGGGTCTTCTTCTTCCTCTCGGCCTCCCTCCCTCCCTCCCAAGCTTTCCCTCTCTCTCTCTTTGTCTCTCTCTCTGTGTTCCTCGCTTCTCTCTCTCTACCCATCAATCTGATGCCGGGGGGAAGTGTTTAGAGGGGAGCTGTGATGACGAGATCGGGCGGAGCCAGGAGTCCCTCGGCTCTCCCGTCGTCCTCTAGGGTTTCTGGGGCGGCGGCGCCACCGCGGAGCGGCAGGCCTCTCCTCCGCCGCCGCCTCCGGAACCCGGCATTCGCCGGGAGGAGGCTCGGCGGCGGAGGGGCCGTCGATGGTGGCGCCGCCGGGGGGAGGCGGAGCGGCCCCACCACTCCCTTCGTCAGGTGGAAGTACAACGATGCCGATCTGTCCGGCAAGGTGCCGGCGCGGTCGGAGGTCGCCGGCGTGAAGGTCAGGAGGAAAAGCAAGGTTAGCGCCGCCACTGCTACCGTAGCCGCTGCCGCCGCTGCCGCTTCCAGTGGCGTCCTATCGGGGACAGTCTCTGCGAGGAAGTTGGCCGCCGGGATCTGGCAGTTGCAGCTCCCGGAGTTCTCCGCGCCGGTGAACTGCAGCACCTCCGCGACGGTGAGATCCTCCGGCCGACTCCTCCTTCCTCCATCACTTCCTCGCCCCCGATCTCCAAATCTCCAGAAGTTCCTTTCCCCCATTGGATGCCCCCGTTCATCCTTTCTAGGGTTTCCTGAGCTTCCCGAGCTTAGGGTTTCTGTAATGCCGTCGATCTCGTTCCGCGCCTGAACCCGACGCCTTCAAGAAGATGCTGGATCGATCCGCGTGGTTTGGTTCTATGAGAAGGAAATATTGACTATCTGCTTCCCTTTTTTTTCTTCTCCGCAGCCCCTCCATGGGCATCTACGGTCTCCGTATCTCTGCAATGGGAGCAGTTCGGGCCTCCACAGAGATCCCAACACTGGCGTCTCCTCGAAGGTAATCCATCTAGGGTTTCATTTCCCCCACCTGCTCCACCATGTGAGATGGGGTTCTGATCTTCTGATCTTCGATTTCAGCTCGGGCATTCTCCGGCATTGCCGAATCCTGCAATGGAGAGGGCGACCAAGTGGGATCCAGGCCAGTCGAAAGCCTCCGACGCGGCTCTGCGATTCTACAGCCAGCTGAAGCTCCTGGAGGATCAGCAGGCGACCTCGGTTTCAGTTGTCACCAGCCTGCAATCGGAGCTTGAGGAAGCTCGGGCCCAGATCAGCGACCTCGAAGCGGAGCGCCGCATGCTGAGGAAGAAGCTCGACCACTTCCTGAAGAAGGCTGCGGAGGAGAAGGCCGCCTGGCGGGGGAGGGAGCTCGAGAAGGCAACGGCGGCGATCGACGAGCTAAAGGAGGCGCTCGCCAGGGAGAGGAAGAACCGGCGGAGGACGGAGATGGTGAACTCGAAGCTCGTCAGTGAGCTCGCCGAGGCCGAGCTGGCGGCGAAGCGGCACTTGCATGAGTGCGAGAAGGAGCGGAAGGCCCGAGAGCTCGTCGAGGAGGTCTGCGACGAGCTGGCGAAGGAGATTGGAGAAGACAAGGCGGAGCTCGAGGCTCTGCGGAGGGAGGCCGCCGGCGTCAGGGACGAGGTGGAGGAGGAGAGGAAGATGCTGCAGATGGCGGAGGTGTGGCGAGAGGAAAGGGTGCAGATGAAGCTGATGGGCGCCAAGCTCGCCCTGGAGGAGAAGTATTCGCTGCTTAGCAAGCTACAGGCGGAGCTGGAGGCGTTCCTGCGGGGGAGAGGCGGGTCCGCCCCCGGCGACGCCGCCGCCGTCAGGGAGGCGGAGCTGCTCAGAGATGCCGCCGAGTCGGCGGCGGCGTTGACCCAGGAGATGGAGGAGTTCAGGTACCAGCCACCGGCGCCCTCCGAGGACATCTTCTCCGTGTTCGAGGAGCTCCGGCCGGGGGAACACGCCGGCGAGAGGGAGGTCGAGCTCTGCTACGATCGTAGCCACCCTGTCAGCCCCGAGGACGGCGGCGGCGGCGGGGGTGGGAGCTTGGACGGCACCGGCGACGGGGAAGAAGATGACAGTGGGTGGGAGACGACGAGCCATGCTGAGGAGCAGGGATCAAGCAATTCCCCTGATGGGAGCGACCCGTCGGTGAACGGCTTCTGCCGGAGCAACGTCTCCGCCGGCGGCACGGACTGGGAGGAAAACCCCGACGGCGAGAAGGCCGGCAGCGGGGTGACGACGGAGGTCTGCTCGGCGGCGGCGGCGGTGAGGCAGCCGAGGAAGAAGATGGCGTCGATCACCAGGCTGTGGCGGTCGTCTTCTTCCCCGAACGGCGGCGGCTTCGACGGGAGCCGGTCGCCGGAGGGGAAGGCGGCGGCGGAGCTGGGGATGAAGAAAGCCTGCGTGGAGTGGCCGAGGGGGATCCAGAAGCAGAGCTTGAAGGCCAAGCTCCTGGAAGCGAGGCTGGAGAGCCAGAAGATCCAGCTCCGGCACGTCCTCCGGCAGAAGATCTAATAGCCGCCCTGTCAGTAGCTCCCCATTATCAAGATCAAGCTCTGGAACCCTACTCTGCCCGGAAGATCCGCAAGGTAAAGAAGAGCCAGGGATCTTGATCAAGCAATTAAAGCGGAAAAGATGGGCTCCTTAGCTACGCGCACCCATAAAAGCCCTCGAACCCTAATCTTCCCTCGCTCGGATTTCGATTTATCTTAATCCCTGAAGGGATATCCCATCATCATCATCATCATCATCATCATCATCATCAAGATGAGACCTTTCAGCTGCCATATGAATACCCGCCGGGGGTCGGGCGGCCACTCAAGCATCACCGAGACAGGACGAAATGTGTGGGTCTTGCGGGGTCCTGCGGAGGCGGAAGAAGACCTGCGGGGGAAGGTCCTGCAGGGGTCCTGCGGGGGTCCTGCGTCTAGAGAGAGAGAGGAGGCGGAAGGTCCTGCGGGGGTCCTGCGTCTAGAGAGAGAGAGGAGGCGGAAGGTCCTGCGGGGGTCCGCCGGCGGCGGCGGTGCAGGCCTTCTGTAGAGCTCAGGAGCCCGTTCCCTTTTTGTCGGCAAGATTGAAGAAGGGCCGAGATTATGTAACGATATGAATTAATTATAAGTTGCTGGAGAGTGGAGGTGCTGGCCGCCGTATCTTTCTCTTTCTGGTTGTGGAGGTGTTCTTGGCCCCATATTGGCTCTGTTGTCTATGGCTCTCGATTCTCCGTTGACCACTTGATGGGGACTTCAATATGGGTCAGTAGAGTCTACTTTGATGAGCTGATTCTCTCTCTCTCTCTCTCTTTGTTAAACGTATTTGGGGATGCAAGCCAAAAATAGAATCTTTTTTCTCCTAAACGTAGAGCCCGTGGAGTCGGGGGCCGGAGGGTCAACGGGGCCCACTTCCCCCCTCGTCCTTTACAAGGCACAGAACCCTAATGGAAGCCTAGAAAATGGGCCCGAGAGACTAAGAGGAAGCACATGCCTAGCGATGGAGGTTTTTTTTCTTCCTGTTGGGCTACCGCTTTGATGGATGGGGGGCTTCTACATGGTGGGCTTGTGGGCCCTAGCTCTGTTTGGGGCCGGGCCAAAATTTCTGTTTGGGTCATCAGATTTCAGAGCCATTTTCTCTCTCCTCTTTAGATATATACAAGAGAAGGCTCTTACTTCTATTTCTATTCTAGCTGAAAACTATTTTTTCTATTAATGTTGCATTCTATTAATGCTTTGGTGGACATCTAAGAGTAGTTCAATGGCCATTTCATACAAAAATTATCTTCTAGTGATCAATTTGACTCATCTATTATCTAAACTTTTAAGATAGACGTTGACTTTGATTGATGATTCTTGTAATTTTCTAAAAATAAAAATCACCTAAGAAAAATGATCTTCATCATAGCTCGGATGTGAGGAAATGGTGGACCCATTTCTTCTTCTTTTTAAAAAATATTTATAGAGACAAGCTAGTTTTGTGAAAATATATTTTCCCATCAACATTAACCTAATGGCATTAGGTTTTGCAACCTGAATTATTTATATAGACTATGGTTTTGAAACCTAAGTTATTATATAGACTATGGTTTTGCAACCTTCCCATGGTGACTATATCATCATTTCTCTATTTATTAACTCAATTATAAACTATTGTAATCCTTGAAGCTAGCACATTTGAATTTCAATTAAAACTCTTCTCACTGAAAATAACTCATTGTTGACAAGGCACCATTGAATAGGCAATTGATATTGCCTTAAATGGACCTTTAAACTATACTCTTCTCATTGATCTAGTCTTTCTATGTTTTATGTTTTTGCAACATTTTCTTTCAAAATATAAAAAATGTAACTTAAATATTCAATATGATGCTTCCTTTAATTATTTCAGATGTCATTTATGTTTAAACTAAGAATGAACCATTAAAGTCGTAGGACAGATAATTAATGAAAATGAGTCTAATAAACCCAAAGCTGGATTAGATAGTAATATAGATAATCCATGAATATTAAATAATTAAAGTAATTATATTTAATGTAAATAACATCCAAATAATCACAAATAAACATGGTCATAAAAATATCATTATTGTGGTTTCATATCTTTATACTACACATTTTCAATTTCTTAGAACTCATGATAATTACTTCAAATTTGCATATCAAGAAGAATATTATTAGAAAAATAAATAATGACTTCACTTTTAAATTTAACGTATATCTTGATTCTCAACTTATGAGATTACATTCATACTCTTCATCTCATAAATTTACATTACATATGTGAACATTTTTAGACTAGAGAAAGTTCCTTCCAATTCAAGAGTATAGTTTTTAATTTCGATTAGAAATGTACCCACTGAAACAAAGAATGATTTCGAGTGGATTTTTTAAAACATTTTCATTAATATTAGATAGTGAGTATTAGATATCATCTTTTTATTTTTATTTTGATGCTTTAAACATTTGGATCTGTCATGAACCAGATGCAAACCAGAAGGCCGGCCAAGAGGAGCTAGATATTGAACTTCTATTAATACTATCACATGAAAAAGAGAATATCAAAAACTGCTGCAACATTCCCATGGAGATGTGCAATCGTGGTGTTTGTGATGTCATGAAACATCCAAATAAGGAAGGTTAGATTTAGTTCGAGACTAGTAAACAAGATCTTGAAATGACAGCCGACCAGGGAGCTTCATCCTCCCCATCAGAGGATCTCCCACCGGGCGCTATGGGAGAGGTGGCAGAATCGCTCCAGGGCTCCTTGTCGCATTCTCACCGGAGCATTCTCTCAGTGCAAAGAATAGAGCTGCCCTGTGCTGTCACGCCCTATACATTCGACATTTTCTCCTGTACCCTGCGGGCGTTGAAGTCTCTCTCTCTCTCTCTCTCACTTGCTTTCTTTCCCTCCCCCCCTCTCTCTCTCTCTCTCTCTCTCACTTTGAATGCTGAGTAAACCCATTTTCGACAGAGATGATCATCTAAATATGAATACGTAAATAATAAAATGAAACAAATTGAATTAAGGGAACGGGTGATTAAGATAATATCGAAGAGAGAAATCGTCCTAGTTTGAGCTGTAGAGGGGGGGTCTCTTGGCAGACGGGGAGAGAGAGGGCAGGGGGGACTCTGCGGGTGGGCCCAAGATTAATCGGCTTATTTCACACCAACCCGACGGGATTCGGACTACACGTTTGCATTCAAGGCCGAAACTTTCAACGGTCCGCGCCAAAATTCGTATGGTGGGCGGGGGCGGGGGCAGGGGCAACGGCTAACTACGCAATCTACGTAGATCTCGGCGAAGGAAACTACTAAGAAAAGGAAACCACTGCCCCTTCTATCTCGGAGAGCCGGTTTCTGCTCCTTGCATGTCGGAATCGAAAGGGAGGCGCCGCCGGACACCCGCTATAAAAGAGGGGGCCTTCCATCCCCGTCTGCTCCCCACTCAATATCGTCGCTCTCCGAGAAACGGCGAGAAGGAAGCGGGAACTAGGCTTGCGGGAGCGGAGGGCTGAGAGACGGAGATAGACAGAGAGATGGACGCAGGCGGAGGACACAGCGGGAGGGTGGAGACGGCGCGGGAGGAGGTGAGGGAGGTGTGGGGGTGGAATATGGGGATGGAGCTGCCCGGGATCCTGGAGGCGCTCGACTCGGCCACCTTCGTGGCGATGGACACGGAGTTCCCCGGGTTCCTCCACCAGACCCCTCGGTTCGCGTCCTCCAGCGAGCGCTACCGAGATGTCAGGCGGAATGTGGACAATATGAAGCTCATCCAGCTCGGGCTCTGCTTCTTCGGCGACGGCGGGCGGCGGCGAACCTGGCAGATAAGCTTCCGCGACTTCGACGTTGCCTCTGCGTCGGATGCGCGATCGGAGGCGTCGGTGGAGCTGCTGAAGAGGAGCGGCATTGATTTATGCAGGACGAGAAGAGAAGGGGTGGACTCGGAGCTCTTCTCCGAGATACTGTGGCGATGCGACTGGGTGGGACGGCGCAAGCCCCGATGGGTCACGTTCCAGGGCCTTTACGACATCGCATACCTGGTGAAGCTCCTCACCGGGGGACCGTTGCCGCCGACGCTCCGCGAGTTCGCCCAGCTGGTGGGGGCCACCCTCGGCAGGATCATCGACGTGAAGTACCTGGCCAAGTTCTGCGGAGGGTTCCACCTCGGCCTGGGCCGGCTCGCGGAGACTGTCGGCGTGAAGCCGGAGGGGGGTGCGGCGCACCAAGCCGGGGTCGACGCCCTGATGACGGCGGCTGTGTTCGAGGTTCAAATGGAGCAACTAAGCGGGAGCGAGGAAGAGCTGGAGGGCATCCTCCACGGCATAGAGGAGGAGAGAATCCTACCCCAGTGCTGGGAGGAAACACAGCAGCAGCAGCAGCAGGAGGAGGAGGAGGAGGAGGAGGAGGAGGAGGAGGAGGAGGAGCTCTTCCTGATATGTGCTCTCCACCCGCCGTCTACCCTGTTCCTGACTCCTGCTGTAGTGTACCCGCCGATGCTAATCGGGATGACCGATCCATTTCCTGAATTCTATTTGTTCGAATAAAATTTTCTTCTGAAGAAGACTCTGTTCAACCATAAGAAATTCCAAAGAAATTGAAACGATTTGGTATATTGAATGATTTGAGTTAATTCAATATCTTATTATTTGGTCATGTTTGATTGATTTTTTTTTGACTTCATTGGAATCTACATTTGGTTGACCTTTGAAAAAAAGTGGTCTCGACCCTTCAATGAAACCTTTCAGTCGTAGTTATAAACTGAAGAGAAAGATGAAGACGAAGAGATATGAGGAGAGGAATGGTGAGGAAAAGGAAGATGGGATTGTGAAGCTGCCCTCAGTTGTGCTGCTGTTGTCATTACTGTCATAAATTCACTACATGATTCCCTTAAGTCACAATGATAATCTTATTCTTCTCTTTTTCTACTCTCTCTCTCTCTCTCTCTCTCTTCATTTACGATCTCTGACTATTTTTGTCAACTCCTCACACCTGTTGCAGCTGCTACAGGTTTGTCAATAAGGTTAT